GGAACACCGCTTCAAGCTGCTGCTTCTCGGAATCATGTGGAGATTGTCAGAATCTTATTAAAAGCGGGAGCAGTAGCTTCTCCAGCAAACGGCGGGATATACGATCATCCCCTCTATCCCGCGTTGCTGAGCAATCATGGAAAATCTGTCAAGGTCTTTTTGGAGAATGGTGTTGGTGCGAACCTGGAAGGCGGGTTTTATGGCAATGCGTTGGTGGCCGCATGTGCTTATGGGCACCAAGCCATCGTGCGTTTGCTTCTTGACCATACTCCCACGGCGGATTTACCTGGAAATTTCTATGATGCCCTTATTACGACTGCAACTACGAGTCGACATATGTCGCTTGCCACTTTCCTCAAGCATAGGAAGCATGTTGATGGGTTAAAGGAAGGAAAACAATGATGAATTAATACTAGCCTCAAAGTTCATGTAAAATATTGTAACGCTTATAGGGTTATTTCCGTTCAATTCATTGAATTAGCATGGTCAAAAGTGGTTGAAACACAAAGACAACGGTCGCTGAATATGGTTAGGTCTTACTTACGTTTGTATCTTGATATTAACAGTAAGCCTTAAATAATAAAAAGACAGCAATTCATATAAGAAACTTGTATGCAATTGCTGAGGAAACCGAACTCTTGTCAAAAACTAGTAGCCTCACGCGGGGGTCGAACCCGCAACCTTGAGATTATGCTTTGACAAGTTTACTTTAGCCGTAAAAGTCTCACGCTCTACCGATTGAGCTAGCAAGGCCTTACAAGCAGCTTTGTCATCTACCTTAACGACATACTGGAGCAGAGGAGAAGAAAGCAGAGAGAACTATCCTTTCAAGCTCATCCGTCGAGCCTGTTCATTCCCCACATACCTTGAACTAATTAGTTCAGAATTTTAAAGACGCCGTAGTAGGGAATTGTCTTGTACATCGTTGCAAGCTAGCCTTAAGTATCATACAGAGTATCGAAACCAAGCATCATAGAGGATATTCAAACGCTTTGATAGCCTTCCCTTTCAGTTTCCCTCCACCAAAAACATTAAAATACAGTTTCTTC